CCCATAACCCTTGTTTATTATAAAGGAGAACCCTTCTCTTTGTGGTGGGCATATTGGTAGGATTTCTGGTAGCTAGCACCGGCACCTGAAACCCCCAAACTTCTTGGGTTCCCAGCGACCGGGATCAGAGACCAGCAGAGTCCGTATGGAATGAGGATGTCTTTGATCTCTTTCTTGGAAGCCTCATCAACATATTTCTGGTAATAGGCAAGCAAGGCTTCGAAGATGGACTGGCGGATTGCATAAATCTGGGCCACGCAGCCACCACCATTCACAAGAACATGGATGTCTACACCAGCGACTCACTCTTTGCCCAGAAGGAGAACAGGTAAATTCCAGTAGCTTGTATTGCAACGGGCATGGCTCCATCATCTCCAAGGGTCGCCCGTTCACTTTGATGAGGACGTTGCCATGTTTGCAATGCGCCACTACTGTGGCAGTTTTCTTGCGTCCGAAGACTTGCACAGACTATAGGGAACCCTTGGACTGCATGGCTGATGGTTTTTGCCGAGAGGTCGTGTACATGTTTTCTTGTTGAACAAATAACAGATATGTAACACAACTTAGTGGGATATATATCAAAGTCTTGGCTTAGTATTTCTAATGGACAGAATTGCAGCGAGCAATTACCAAATGATGCGTTTATCTGTCCATCCACCTGTGTTACTGATTAAACGTAATCCATTAAGCAGTCAATCATTAATTGTAATTAAAATCATCAAGTGGATTTTTAAAAGAATTAATAGAAAACTTATATGAAATATGTCTATCCAGAGAAGTTGTATTATATAAATATTATTAAGTAATTTTGTTTTAGTAATTTTAGGTATTAAATTATATTTCAAGAATTTAAGGTATATTTAAGGTTAAAAGTAAAGCATTATCTTCCAATAAACAATAATTGATTTTTAAATTCCTTATTTCAGTGTGAGATTTTTAATTTCCACTAGTTGTCTTGTATCTTCTTCTACCCCATGAATACATGAGTTGACAGTTAAAATGCTTATTTCTTCAGTGCTTTTAAAATTTTTATTTAAAACTTGATTGATGTAGTATTTTATTTTTACTAAAGTAACATGGTCTGTCATAGTTTTTATGTTGCTTAAGATTCCCCCACAAGCCCTCCTATCCAAGTCGGAAAGTTGAAAGTATTTCTTCATTACAATTAACAAATTTATCCTTAATATGCTAAAACTTCTGTGTGCTCTATGTGCATCTTTTATGCCCTGAAAATCTCAAGGCTAATCTATATTGGTATGTTTTAGAATATACAAGAAGAATATATTAACAACTTTTCGATTTCAGAAAGGAGTTTCTGATAGTGCAGTGGTTTTGAGTTGGACTGTTAACCTCAAGGTCAGCAGGTTGAAATTATCATAGGTTCCATGGGAGAAAGATGAGGCTTTCTGCTCCTATAAAGACTTACAGCCTCAGAAACCCTATGCAGGGTCGCTATGAGTTGGAACCGATTCCAAGACTCACTATCACCACCACCACCACCACAGATTTCATAAAAATTTCAGTGGAATATAGTAGTATATTCTACAAACATTGCAGCCCTGTTGTATCACTCACTGTAGGGTAAACACTGAACTGCAAGGTTGGTTTGAACCACAAAGTCAGTGGTTCAAACCTACCTGCTGCTCCTTGGAAACCCTATGCTCAGTCACTATGAGTCAGAACAGATTCAATGACAACTGACAACAA